ATAAAGAGACAAACAGTGCAAGGAGAATGCAATTTAGTCATTGGCTGTGATAGATTACATACACAACCATGACCTTGCAGAGACATTTCTGCATGATTTACCTTTTCTCTTGAAGGAAAGCTGTGAAGTTCTGTAGAAGATCTTCTATGTAGGATACCATGTTTTCAGAGCTGTGAAAATCAATTAAACTTAAGATCAAAGATATATGGTATTCGTTCCCATCTTTGCTTATTTACCGTAATGTGGTTTAAAAGCATGTCTTTTTTCCTCACCCCTCCAGAATGGGCTGTAAACATGTGTGTTGGAGCAACAGGTGAACACTCTCTACCATTTTCTTTCTTGAATGATATATTCGTCTCCACATGTCCTCCTGTAAACTGAGACAGATTGCATCTAGTGCATCTATCACGAAAAAATGTGTTGAGTGTAAGAGAACACGTCAATCAAGTTTGCCATTCTAACCTTTTATTGAAATTTCTCTTCTTCACTGCTTTCTCCAGGTCTGGAACTGCCATCTCATAGAATGACGATAATCTACATTAAGAGACGCTTCATTCATTGTTTTTGTATCAGGAATATCAGGTATGAAATTCTGCCCTTGAGGACACTGTGTAAATCATAGTTTGGATGGTGTGGGTGTATTGGTCACCTGTTAAGAAAATTGTGTTGTTTGAAGGTAGAACAAGCCTCAGGGAAGGTGTCCAGGAAAGAGTGGATAGTAGTGCAAGTATCACACATGTACAAAACCAAGTCTGCTAGCTCCTACATGACATAATACATATATAAATATAAGCATATTATTTCTGCCTTTTAGGACACTGTGTGATTTAAAGGTAGGGTCCGTATGTGTCTCTGTATTTGTAAAAATGGTTAAGAAAGTTTCATTTTGTTTACCTCCTCTGGCATGGCCATGGCAGTTAGGCATTTGTTTGCATTCAGTTTGAGGGGTTGACTGTTTCCTGTGTCCTCTGACTGAATACCACACTTCTGTAATATCATACCAAACACCTAGAATGTACACACACACACACACACACACATATTTTCTGGAACTTCGGCACAATTTGATGAATCAACACATTTAGAAACATCTCATGATAACAATAACTACCTGGATGATTGAAGGTATAGTCTCATTTAGGTCTCCATAATAACTGGGCTGTTGAGTAAAAATGTTCTCTGGAAAAAGTGAAAAGTATGCAATTTTAGTTTTAAATATGGAAACCATTGTGAGTGATTTAAAAAATCAGGTGGGTTCATGAGGTATTTATGTATTTTTTTGCTAATTATATATATGTACTATAATACTATCAGATTTTGTGTACCGATCATTTTATGTAGCAGTTGGGAATTTCCTTTCCCAAACAGCACACACAGATCCAGAATTTTGGGAATGTCAAATAGGTAGTTGTTGTAAATAATCTCTGCAAACACTGCAGGGGTTATGAAGTTCTCCTGAGGAGAAAAAAAAAAGATTTTGAATCCCACTGAATACCAAATATATTGCAATCATATGAATTTAATGTCATTTAATACAAAACCACCAGCTTACATTTACACTAATTATAAAAAGTTTGGGGTCAGTAATAGTTTTCTTTGGAAAGAATGAATGCTTTCATTCAGCAAGGATGCATTAAATTGATCAAAAGTGACAGTAAAGATTTTTTTATAATGTTACAGAAGATTTATATTTTAAATAAAAGCTGTTCTTTTGAACTTTTTATTTATCAAAAAATCCTAAAGATGTATTTTGGTTTCAACAAAAATATTAACCAGCACAACTGTTTTCAATGTTACTTAGGCACTAATCAGCATATTAGAATTATTCCTGAAGGATCATTTGACACTGAAGGCTGCTGAAAATTCAGCTTTGCCATCAAAGGAATAAATTACATTTTAAAATCTATTCATATATTTTAAGTCTTGGTGAGTAAAAGAGACTTCCTTCAAAAACATCTTACTGACCCTAAACGTTTGAACAGTATCTACTGTAGGACTTATAGCCTGTCCAAACCCACACTGTACAATGATTATAAATCTTTAAAAAATAATATAGTTAGTTAAACAATATAATTTATTTAAAAAAAGAGTTTATGGGAGTTCAGGAGTGTATGTTTACCTTAGACTCTTTGTGTGTAGCCATCCTGAGGAAGACCATGAACACAAAGCGATGAATGTTCCTCTGCATGTCAGCTACAGCTGGACTAGACGAGAGACCAGATGGGTCCAAACCATGTGGAGCGTGTCTCAAATAAGAGTCCAAACACCTCTGTAATGACTCATCAAATACCACCTAAATGGAGAAAGAATAAAAAAGAAACAATATGACAACTGCCTGGCCGCATGTCATATTATATAATGTAATGGTCGAAAAACAACATTATTATTTTGTTGTACTGTATCTTCATTACTAGCAGATTTATTTTCTTCATCAAGAGAAGTATAACTTCATTTTACTAAAATCTCCATAAACAACTTTTGTATTTTAGAGTCTAACCTGACACCAGAACTTGTCATGAGGTAAAGCCAGCAGCCACTCCAGATCCTCTGAGATGAACTGAGCATGCTCCAGAAACTCCTCCACCAGCACAGGTGTGCCATCCTCAGGTGGGGGTTTATAGGTTAAGAAACTCCTCTCTTCTTTACGGTCAGGGTGCTGATGGGAGACATTAAGGTGGCATCATCATTCATGTAGCTCATTGAAGTACTGGACTATAGTGATGGTTCAGATCTACTCTAGTTAATTATGCAGGAAAAAGACAAAGTGAAATATTCACTCACCAGTGCTGGTAGGGTGCGTTCTTTGCCTTGTGGTCCAAAGGGCTCAGTCACATGCAGTTCATCTAAAGGCACTTTTGCACACGCCATTTCACCTGCCCAGGTAGGAACAGACTTGCCCTGAGGAAGATGGCCAATGGAAATAACAACTAATGAGACCTATTTAATCATTTTATTTGTCTGCATTGTGTGTAAACCATAATTAAATGGTGGTTTGAGAGATGTTATTACGTCTGGTTTATGCTTAGTCGAAGTTGTTACTCTTTTGATTGACAGATTCACTGTCTATGAGGGCCTCACTGACAGACTAATGTGTCAGAGATCCACAAGCAGTGAGGTTGTTGACAACACCGTGGACATATTTTGTCATGGTGGAAATTTTCCTCACAACAGTTACATTTAATATGAGATTTTCTGTATTTGATTTTAGGCTCGTTACATGCTGCTGTCTATATGTAAGATGACTGACTCGCTGTCTACAGTATTAGCGACCTGGCTAATGCTGACCGTTGCAATGAGCTCAACATCTTTATTAAACACAACACGACGAACAACAACAGTTTTCATCATCTGTAAATGATTTTAGTAAAAGACAGACATCAATAAAAAAAAAGTACAATTTTGTTGACTGTTACTGAATATGAGGCAGAAAACCACAATGAAGTGGAAACTAAGAAAAAAGTTAGCTTTCTTGCGTTTAAATAGCAAATGACATTGTTCATCTTAACAACACGGAATAAAAAATAACGTTTATTGAAAATCAAGTGATAAAAATGTCACCTCTCCAGTGAATATTTCAACAGATGTTTAACAGCTCCAGCTCAAAGCATCACATCTATCTGCGTGGATATCCGGTGTACTCGAGCAGACGTCATTTCAAAATAAAAGTCCTTAAAATAAAAATTGTTCTTATGTCGATGCTGGTCGACGTTTAACCAGTGACTACATGGAGATTTATAAACTCCATAGAACTTACAATGTCGTTACATTTTTATTGATTAATTTCTAAATCTATAACTAATCATGTAAGTGATGTTTGATCATTAGGTCATGTTTTTAAAGAAAGCTGTTGCAGTGTTACAAAACATGTCCCCTAAACGTGATTTTGCGATCGCGTTCTAACTAATTACATTTCCCAATTTAGTTATTTATTATTAGCATGAAAGAGCACTGTAAATTTAAACTACAGACAAGGAATAGCCTACATTTGCATTGTTGAATGATGAAGAAGCAAACTTTGAAAATAGTCAGGATAAGTACTGCGACAAAAAAGAAGCATTAGTTTTCACTTTATAATACCGTTCATATCAAACAACCTCAATAAAGTTTTTAGAGATTAATACTTTACATAAAAACGTGTTTTGTTCAGTAGACAGCTTAACTGTAAATTTGCTGGAGGCTTTCAAATACTGCTGCATATATAAATTCTTATTTTCATTAGTTATTGCGCACGTTGTGGTTTGTCCAGTTTATTGGCTTCGCAATAATGCGCCAACATAATAATAGTTACTAGAAAGTGTATGACTGTCTTACTTGTAACAGTTGTTTCCACGCGGTATTTTGTGAAACGCTGATCGAAGCTGTTCAGAGGAATAAGCTTTACGATACAAATTCCTTTCTTTTCATTAGTTGTTGTTCTTTTCACATTAGTATGTGAACGTTGTTTTGTCCAGTTTATTGTCTGAACAACGATTAAAGGAACGCATAATTTGACGTAACACCGTTGCGTCATTTATCTTTATAAAATAAAGATGAAAAATATTACAAGGGCAATTCTGGTCACGTGACTATTTACGCCACACGTGCAAAAATGTTTATAAGAAATCAAGAGTCTGCGTGGAGTAAACTGGATAATTCTCCAAATCTGCCACTAGAGGTCACATGATGCCCACATCACATCACAAACCCACTGAAACTTTGGTTGTTCAGTGGGCAGTGTCCTCCAAACTTAATCTTCCAAATCTCAAATCTCTGTTTTAATATTCGACTACTATGATTTTAAACAAGGTAGGTTTCGTAGGTTTCATTCATGATTTCCCTTTGAGTAAGAAGAGGTGTGCGTGGGTGTTTCAACACCACCCCGAGTGTGATTGCTCCATAGCAAAAAGCCCAAGTCTCTTTCCGCCTCTCGCAAACCTCAAGACACTTCAAGTCAAGGCCCCACTGATGGAGCGCGCGTGTGTCGCCGCCTCTATTTGCGTAGTGGATGCTGGCTCCACCTTTCAAGCATTGCAGTGACCTCAGCAGTGGGCTGAATTGAGCTGGGTGGGATTTTCAGCCCCGTATTCCCGATCGCGTATTCAAGGATCACGATTTAACGGTGTATGTGACGGAGCGAATGAGCGTTTAGCCGGTAACGTTACGCGCTGAACGGTGCAGCATTTGTGTTCGTGTTTGCGTGCATCTAACGACAGGGATCAAATAAACGAGGAATGTGGGATTTACAGAATGCCCAACAGCGTTGGAAAAAGATTTAAACCCACCAAATACATCCCGGTGTCCACTGCCGCCACTCTTCTGGTGGGATCCACTACTTTATTCTTCGTTTTCACGTAAGTTTGCGGCGATTTCATTCACGCGCTATTTCGTGAAACGCTGGGAGAGATTGTGGGCTGTTAACTGGATTAAGTTTTATGACAGTTAAATGGCCACAAGGCCTGTGATTTGACTAAACGCCTTGAGCTATTTCTCTGATTTCTTCATTTAGACATTTAGACAGTTGATGTGCATACGAAGTGATTTTTTTTGGGGGGGGGACTATAATATAAAGACTATAATATATGTGTGTGCTGGTGTGAAGTGAAGTGATGTGTGGCCAAGTATGGTGACCCATACTCAGAATTTGTGCTCTGTATTTCTGTATTGGGGGGGCTTAAATTGCTAAATGATATTGGTCATTTCTGTTGAGATTTCACATGTGAAATGAGTTCAGCAGAAAAGTCTGGTTTTCTTGAAATTCTTGTGCTACAAAATATTCTTTGATGGACTATTTGCTGCATATACTGCCTGTTATTGGAAGCTTGTAGACAGTTTTGTTCTTTTCATTCATTGCATTGAGTTTTAAATGTAATGTGCTTTCAAGATGATAGGTTTTGGCATTCCCATAGTTTATATAACTGAACGATATTGTATGCAGATAATTTAGTAGACATTGCTTAAATGCATATGGCTTCAATGTGCAGAGTGCATTGATCTTTGCTTCAAAATCTTTCTCGTATTATGCACGGCTAAAGTCATTACCAAAGATCAGCATAAAGTGATCTTTTTAAGTGTATTGATGGCCAGGAAGTTGCTTTAACGTTGAGGCGTTCATCAAGCAGTGAGTGTGATAGAGAAGATAGTGACAGGCTTTGATTTACTCAAGCAGTTGTTTGAAGAATCAACATTAGGCTCAATGTTTTGGATCACTTGTGTTTTAATTATTCTCTTTCAGATTACAGTCCAGAGTACACCGTTTTTATTTGATCATCTTGCAGGCATAAACCCGCTCTTAGTGTGTTTTGTAGAATGAGCATCTTGCAGATTGAGCTGTCATGATTATTTATTTATTTATTTTTAAATTGTGGTTTAGGTCAGTAGATCACAATTTCTTCTAAGCTTTTTTTGTATGATTTTTTTCAAAATTACAAATATTCCGTATAAAGTGCTGCAGCTGTGACGTCAAAAGCCGAAAAGCCATGGGTTCCCTTGAGATTTCTCTATTGGTTTTTTAATGGTGTTTTTCACTTTATGAGTAAAACAAGGTCTGTGGTAGCCTAAATATAAGTTGATGATATTTCACCGTTTTTCTCTATAAAATAAATGACATTCACCCATACTGAAAATGTGAATTTTGAAGCAGTTATGTTTATTTTTAAATCCGAATGGAATGGCCAAGTATCCTCAAGTTTTGTTTACCACAGACCTTATTCCACTCATTAATTGAAAAATTCCATTATAAAAAGTTAAACCCATTGCAAGATCTCAAGGGATTCCAAATTAGTCTTCTGGGTTTTGACATCACGGCTACAGCACTCTATAGTCTCATAATTAATATGAGGTCATAAAGCTTAAACCATAACAATTATAAAGGATATAGCAAAATACGGTTTAAAAATTGTAGATTAACTAGCATTGATTGCAGAATATGTTGACATCCCAGAAGTATTTCATGTCTAATACCCACTTGTTTTTGGAGATATCTTGGCAATAATCTTAGGGAATAATTCCCCTACCCATTTGTGGTGTCTAAAATAAGTTACTTTTACATCACTTACTTACTTTTAGATTTTTAAATCTGTGCTCCACAACTAGCGGGAAAAAAAGCCCATAATGCACTGGGCTTGATCAGACTATCCATTTTCCCGAGAGCCCTGGAGATGAAAAGAATCCGCTGGATGACATGTTTTACAAATAAAGACTTGGCACAGGTAACAGAAAAATAACTCACATTGTTCATTTACTTATACTACCAACATTGTAACAATACAAAGCCGGTTGAAAACTGGTGAACTTAGGCTTTTAAACTTATTTAGAAAGACTATAATAAATATGTGTGCTGGTTTGAAGTGATGTGTGGCCAAGTATGGTGACCCATACTCATATGGTGGCCCAGGGAGCAGTTGGGGGTTCAGTGACTTGCTCAAGGGTCTCACCTCAGTCGTGATATTGAGGGTGGAGAGAGCGCTGGTTATTCACTCCCTCCAACGACAATTCCTGCCAGACCTGAGACTCGAACACGCAACCTTTGGGTTACAAGTCCAACTCTCTAACCATTAGGCCACGACTGCCCACTTTGAGTATGAGCCTGGAGCAGATGAATCAGGATGATCAATGGATTGAGAGCGCGACCCATTACTGTTTGATACTCTGGATTAATATACTGTTTTGGAAACGGGTTGTTAATGTTGACCTTTACATGCTAAATTTCTTATGCAAATAGGAAACAGACTGGTTTTTCAGTTTCCTCTGGTAGCCATTGAGAAGTTAGATCTGTGTCCAGCATCAGACCTCCAAAACCTCAGTGCCATCTGTATTTAAAACAGCACTCAGGTGCAGCATCAAAGCTAATGTTGGTACCTAAGGCCACTTGTTTACTTGTTCACTGACTGCTCGCTAGAGAACAGTCGATAGACCTTCAAGCCAACAAGGCCATGTGATGACTTTCTCCTGAATGTGAGAAGTGATGAGGGATCTGGGTGTTGTCAGGCATTTACACAGATCTTAACAAGGTTGTTCTCAGTTGGTTTTCCCATATGGCCTCACTACATCACTGCATTTGTGTCGAGAACAGTGGTGTGGAGTGAGGAGACTTGTGACGCAGTCTTTATGATCTTCCCATATATCATTTATCCATTTGTTTAAGACATTTCTTAGTGTCTTTACCGCTTTCTACGACATTCATATTATCAATTTTTTTTCCTGAGATTTAATATCTGAAAATTTGCTAGGTAAACAAGCAAAGGGAACAAGTTTAGTCCCTCATTTTCATAGAGAATGAACTGCTCAAGTGCTCTTAAGAAACATCACATACGTGTGGAAAGAAAATGAACCTTTGAAGTCAATCGCTTTATAATTATGACCAAACTGCTTTTAGCAGTAAGTCAAAAGATGAATTATGAAGTAGCAGCATTAAGGTCTTTATTCAGTGCTGGAAATAGGATTCTACCATTGTGAGTATGATGTTCGGTATTTGAGCGTTATATGAATTAACGAAGAAAAATTTCACCTTTAAAACTTTTTTTAATGGTTTGTGTAGCAGTTTCACTTTTCATATCTGAAAGCATTTCAGTGTGAACTGTCAGATAGTGTCCCCCTTTTAATTTGTGTCTAACCTCTTTCTCTTGTTCCCTTAAGGGGGACAGATTGGATTAACAGTGTTCTGTGTGCAGATGTCCTGTGGTCTGTAGTATTTCTAAACATTATGGTGACATAATGGGCTGTAGTTAAAATTTTAAGGCCGTTAATGAAGTGCTCATTTCCATTTATATTTATCTTCATTCCCTGCTGTGCTTTCTTGTTAATGGGCCTATAATATGTTTATGCTGTTCTGTTAGATTTCATGATAAGCACTTGCACCCTGTACAAGTATTGGCATACAAAAAAATATACTAACTCTTCTTGTGAATTCAGTAGGGCTGCCACTAATGACTATTTTTATTTAGATTAATCTATCGACTAATTTATCAATTAATCTAAACGATTAATTTCCCACAAAAATCATCAATTTTACTTAAGAATATTTTATTAAACTATATTTTATTAAACCAAATGAAATCCAAATTTCTATGAAATCCTTTTTTTAAAGCAAAAGATTGTCCGTGAAATGCGCCACTATTTTGCCGGTTAGTCGACACGAGCAAAATGAAGTAGAGGATTTGTAAAAATCAAATAGTCGAATAAAATCCACAAATCGCAACCGCCCTAGAATTCAGTGATTTTGATATTCTTCTGATGCAGAATTTGAAAATGTGAATGAGAGGAGGAATTTGATATATTAATTAAACTGTCTAATAACACACATGGACAGCTTTTGTTTAGCAAACTGTCAGGAAGAGAATAATATTTGGCTGATGAATTGCACATAATTCTGTCGATAATGAATCCATCAGGCCAGAGACTTAAACCGAGCAGAACAGCGGTGTTTATTAGCGTGTGCCATTCAGAAACTGCAGCGTGCAGAGAGATGGAGTGATGGGCAAAACGGAAAGAGAATGAGGAAGGTGGTTTTAGGGGTAGAGGATAGAGATGTAGCCCACAGTCACATAGAAGATTTGGCAACAATTTCTTTCTTCTTTGGAACACAAAAGAAGATATTTTGAAAAGATGTCTCAGTTTTTTTCTTCCATAAAATACAAGTAATTTTTCTTCAAAATATATTTTGTGTGCCAAAACAGAAAAAAACATGCAGTGTTGGAACAACATTATTATTAATATTAATATTATTATTATTTTTTTTATTTTTATATTTATATTTTTTGACCATATACAGTGAAAGTCTGTGATGCCTTGGACCCAGCTGACATTCTTTAAAATATTTTCTTTTTTGTTCTGCTGAACAAAAAGAATGGTTTAGGTGAGTATAAATGATAGTAGAATTTTCAAGCCAGAAGTGCAGGTGAAAAGATACATTAAACATTGTTGCCTTTTTTGTTTCTGGTTCCACAGAAGAATGGCGTTCAAATATAATCACCAATAAATAGTCCTAAATCTCCTAAAACTGTTTCATCATCACATCCTCATCACAAATTCTCCAATATTTGCTGCATTATTCATACGCATAGTGCGGATATGGATAAACAATTTTGATTTCAATCTAGGTCATTTTTGTTTTCAGTAGAACAGTGCTGTGCTGCCGTCATTGTCGGTGAATATCCATGAATCTCTAATATAGATAACTTATTAAAATCAGGGAAGAGTCTGGGACTAAGAATTCAGAAGTACAGCTCCCTTAAATCCAATTTTTCAATATTACTATAACCATAAGGTTGCTTATAAGAATTAGGTGCAAGTAATAGTGAATCTTTATTGTGTTTTCCTTCATATGCACAGAAAGATGGAGAAAGCTTGACCT